AATAAATGTTGAGATAAGTTTTCAATTAGAGTTATGGAAATTAGTGTTTGTACACATTTGAAATCATCAATCAATCATTGTTAGACTACCATTAGAAACCTGGAACCAATGGACGGCCGTTTCGTCCTGGTATGGGACTCATCAGCAGTGCGCATCCACGACTCCATCTCGCGCACAATATCGAAGGTCACGGGTTCGAATCCTGCGAGGAGCAGGAGTCATGGATGCGTACTGCTGATGAGTCATATACCAGGACGAAACGGCCGTCCAATGCTTCCAGGTTTCTAATGATGGTCTAACAATGATTGATTGATGATTTCAAATGTGTTGAGAGAAAAGCCATTTTCCATTCCTGAAGCTTAGAATATGGCTAAACATAAAGAGTCTATTCGCTTACGATATTCCAAATGATTTTGAGCCATGACAATGATTACAAGAACCATCCGGATGGACCCGAACCAGTTAGTCTACAGCTGTTATCAAGACTCAGTCCAGTTTTTAATGACTTGATAGACTGGTGCCATGTTTTGGTTTCTATTCTGTTTGCTTGCTTCTAGTCTACTCCTATGTCAGATAGCATTGTCCGTCTGTATACATCAAACAGTTGAACAATGATGCGTTGTTTCACACCATAAATTGAGTAAATGAATTTTATCATTCTCAATTCGACCGTTTCAGTAAGCACATGAATATAAATGTCCGAATCACGTGATGCTAGGTGATAATTAAATTGACATGAACCTGATATGGGTTATTAAATATGCTAGGTTTTCTAATTAGTTATTTTGTCATGAGATGATCACATGGAATAGCAGTATATCAATAATTGTAAAGGTGTATGATTTTTAAGTACTGGTACTGGGTGCTCAATCGATAAAGCTCCCTTTGGCAATTTGTTTGCTGCAACTAATGCTTCAATAATGAGTGTGAAAATCAGAATTGGTGAACATCTCGGTATTGCTGCGTTCTCCGTTCATTCACTTCATGAGTTCTTATTGTCCATCTAGGTGATCTTATCAGCGATTCAACTGGAAGGGAGCCTCTTAGTTTGTTAGTTACCGGTGGTGACCTCTGTGACCGTATCCAAGGCTATCCATCTGACAAGTCCTTATTAAGAGAAGAAGGTCATCCTCGACTCGATTTCTACAGATGATATGTCTTTTACAAGAATAGCTGTTTTTAATGAAACGAAAAATCTTTCGGATCTACCATTTAATTCTAGTTAGTACGATTGAGGACCTAACAAATATGATATTATTATTTCCTACATAGAGCTTATCAAACTGGATTGAAGTGAACAGTCTTCAGTTGTCAGAATGTTATGAATGCACGTCAACAAGTCATTTGATATGCTTGAACTATTACGAGTTCACCTTAGTCGGTGAACAAGAGCGAGGATCCGGTGACACGATAGGCTACTCTAATCCGAGTGTCCTAAACCCCCATTGAGTAGTAGAAGAAGACTTGACATGAAGTAGAACATGCATTTTACGAACATGCAGAAAGTACGAGGTCCGAATCCAGAGGAAGATAAGGATCCCGGACTAAGGATCCAGATCCTAAAACGTTACGGATAATGCTTATTTACACAGTTAGGCCGAATACGAAACAACATTGAAGTATGTGACATTGATAGTCAGGTCGACCAATAGGAATTGACCAATCGACGTAAGTCCCCCTAGTCTTAATGAAGTTGAAAAGCGTCGGAAATCTGAAGAGAGGGCGAGCTGCGGGTCCTGATAGGCTGATCCCTGAGATATTTAAGGAGGTGGTCAGTTTTAGCAACTACGTTGACCGAGATATTAAGTAGAATCTGGGAACTGGGACGCAATCCCTTCCGACTGGTTTCAATCACTGATTGTTCCAATCTGTAAGAAGGACATAAGTCTTCTTGGTGACAATCACAGGGGAATAAGTCTAACTAATATAGTTCTAAATCGTTAGGCATCCACTATACTTAGAAGCTTTACTAATGCTCGTGAAGAACAGACTAGAGAAACCAATTCTGGTTTTTCGACCTGGACGTGGTTGTATAGACCACGTCTTCACACTCAGACAGGTCCTGGAAACATAGACACACATTTAGACGTCCTACAATAGTTGTTTTCCTGGACCTTAAGGCGGCAATTGACTCTGTGGATCGTGAGTTCTGTGGCAGCGTCTGTCATTGAGAGGTGTGGCAAAGAAGTACATTAACCTCATACAAGCTCTCTACTCGAACACCACTGGTCGAGTGAGAGCATATGGCGAACTGTCACCGGAATTCTCTACATCAAGTGTGTCCGTCAGGATGTCCACTTTCTCCATTCTTGTTTGAATTTACCATAGACATGCTCCTAAAAATAACCTTATGCTCGTCTGAATTTTCAGGAGTAGACCTTTTATCAGGTGGCTCGCTTATTGACTTAGAATATGACGATGACATAGTTCTACTTAGTGAAGACGCTGACAA